AAAAAAAAAAAAAAAAAAAAAAACTTTGATAACATGAGTTTGGAATAAAAAGTTAAGATCATCTAGAACCAATATGGGACATAAGTGAAAACCCAAAAAAAAAAAAAAAAAAAAAAAAAAAACATTAATTTACTTTTAACAATATGAAAAAGTAATCTAATATTTAAATTTTTATTATTTTATTGAATGACATTAGATTAATAAATTATATCTTTCATGACGTAGAATATCTAAATTTATTATGTAATAAAATTTTATAACATTGCTGTAACATTTCAACCAATTTAATTAAAATTTGCATACTAAATCACATACATATCTGATAAATTTTCATATCAATATGTAATGTTTTCTAGACAAGAAGAATATCCTTATAATTAAATATAAAACATAAAAAAATAAATTTTAATTTTTTATTACCATTGTTAAAAACATTCATTTTATATACACTAAAACTTTGAAATACATATACATCAAAAAATTAACTTGAATATAATCCAAAAGTTTATTATAATATCATTTGAATAGGATTATGTAATATCAAACAGATACAAAAATAATTATAAGAAATATTAAAATTTAATTATTTTTTATTTAATTTTCTTGAAAATAATAATTAAAATTAAATTTAAAATACAAGTCATTGTGCATTATAATTTCAAAGGAAATATAACAAGTCGATTTTAAGTTTTCATATAAATTTCCGTTGCTCTTTAAAATAAATTTAATTTTAAAGCAAGAATTACTAGTAACTTTTCTTAAAATACGAGGTTAAGAATTTTTAAATATAAATAAATTTGTAACATAAAAGAAGCCACTTTACATATATCTAATAATCAATTTTTATAATAGATGGATTCTTAAATAATTATTTTTTATAATAAAATAATTATTTATAAATAAAACATAGTTTAATTTATATGAAAATTATTTGGCACTTATAAATCTGGTTTGATTCCATGCTACCAAAATATATATATTATATAGAACTCATAAAAACAGTTTGAGAAATACTGAAAGATGAAATTAATAATATTGCAAGGCTTTCGATAATTATTTTACGGAAAATTTCTCCAAATACATATTTTTATTTTCAAATTTTACCAAGATATTTAAAATTTAGAATTTATAGATTTTAATTGATGTATTATTTTTCATAATATTTTATATTCACTATAAGAACATTAGTTGCTTAAGACAAAATATTTTACATTTCTTTTCCTGTTGTGAAGTAGAATAAGAAAATATATTTCAAATATGATTTAAGACGACTCTTTTTAATGGCCCGTAAAAATCACATATTAAAATTATTTTTTTGTAGGCATATGAATATTCTTAAAACGATTCATCATCTTGATTGCAAAATGACTTATAATTTAACTTACCTAATGTAAGTTTTAATGAGTATAAATATTTTCTGTGTTCATATATTATATTTAAATATCATATTCTGTTTATATATATTTTTTAAATATTATATTTCTGTTTATATTATACTTTGAATTCTTACATAATCAAGATAAAAATTTATTTTATTATTAAAATACTGCTTGTTATTTCTGTTCACATATTATTTTTCTGTTTTTATAATACTGCTATTACAAGAAATATAAATTTATCTAAATTATGTAAGTAGTGAAAAGTCTATTTTTTCTAAGGTACTTTATCTATATTTAAATTTATATTTCAAAAAAAAATTAATGTATAATTGGAAAACATCAAATAATTGACATTATTACATAACAAATATACCTTAAATATTTAAATAATTAAAATAAGGATATAAAATATATATTAGATATATATTTTGAATATATGTACATTTGAAATATATGTATTTTTAAAATATATCTTACATTTAAAATATGTCATATATTTAAAATATGTCATATATTTAAAATATATCTTATATTTAAAATATATCTTATATTCAAAATATAACTTATATTTAAAATATAACTTATATTTAAAATATAACTTATATTTAAAATATAACTTATATTTAAAATATAACTTATATTTAAAATATATCTTGTATTTAAAATATATCTTATATTGAAAATATATCTTATATTGAAAATATATCACATATTTAAAATATATCTTATATTGAAAATATATCATATATTCAAAATATATCATATATTCAAAATATATCTTATATTTAAAATATATCTTATATTTAAAATATAACTTGTATTTAAAATATATCTTATATTGAAAATATATCTTATATTGAAAATATATCACATATTTAAAATATATCACATATTTAAAATATATCACATATTTAAAATATATCACATATTTAAAATATATCACATATTTAAAATATATCACATATTAAAAATATATCACATATTAAAAATATATCACATATTTAAAATATATCTATTTTTAAAATATATCTTACATTTAAAATATGTCATATATTTAAAATATGTCATATATTTAAAATATATCTTATATTTAAAATATATCTTATATTCAAAATATAACTTATATTTAAAATATAACTTATATTTAAAATATATCACATATTTAAAATATATCACATATTTAAAATATATCACATATTTAAAATATATCACATATTTAAAATATATCACATATTTAAAATATATCACATATTTAAAATATATCACATATTTAAAATATATCACATATTTAAAATATATCACATATTTAAAATATATCACATATTTAAAATATATCACATATTTAAAATATATCACATATTTAAAATATATCACATATTTAAAATATATCACATATTTAAAATATATCACATATTTAAAATATATCACATATTTAAAATATATCACATATTTAAAATATATCTTATATTTAAAATATATCACATATTTAAAATATCTTATATTGAAAATATATCACATAGTTAAAATATATCACATATTTAAAATATATCACATATTTAAAATATATCACATATTTAAAATATATCACATATTTAAAATATATCATATATTTAAAATATATCACATATTTTAAATATATCATATATTTAAAATATATCACATATTTTAAATATATCATATATTTAAAATATATCTTATATTTATCTTATATATTTAAGATATATTTATATTTCAAAACTACAATATATATACAGCATAAAAGTTATGACATAAATTATATTGTATCATATGAAATAATTTTGAAATTACTACTTGAATACAAATTTAGCTAGTTAAAACAATATTTTAAATCAATTTAAAATTTAATGGTGCAATCTTATAAGATAAGTATTGTGATTAATTTTTCTTTTTTGAAAATTTCTAGAATAAAAATTAAGAAAAAAAAATATTCCACCCTAAATGTATATAAATATTTTATTAATAAGTTCTAATAAATATATTAATATATGATTGAGGAAAATAAAGTATATTCAAGAACTAATAATTTTATACAAAGCAAGTATTTATTTTTATTTTTTTGATTTTTTTTTTCATTCTTAAAATTTTTTGTTTCAAAATAAAGGCTTTTACTTTAAAAATTTAATATAATAGTAATAGAAAAAATAAAAAATCTCTATTTGCTTGATTTTGTTTTTGATTAAGTGAATAAGATTATGTTAAAATTTTAACTTGGTTATCAACTATAGCTAATTTAATTTTAAATACAACTTATATCCATAATAAAAAATTAATTATAAAGTTCAAAAATATTACCTCTTTAAATAATTAATCAAACTTAGCCCAAAAAACTAAGTAGAAAATAAAATATATTAGTTTTTTTTATTAAAAATTAAATATTAAAATTTAGAAAAATCAAATCATACTATTAGTTAATAAAAGATGATAATTTTTTGTTTTATTAACAATCTGTATAAATTTAAAATATTTTTCAATATTTTAAATATTTTAAATAATAGTGAAAGTTGAGAATAAATTTATTATACACTTTTTGTTAAACAAAATTTTAAAAAAATTCAAAAAAAAATATAAAAAATCATATTTATTAATTTTTAAAAATTAAAATAATTCTTTATTTATACAAATTTAAATTATAATATAAATTATTTATATTATAATGTTTTGT